GCCTTGAGCAACCTGCTCTGGTGGGAGGTGTCCCTGCCCAGGGCAGGGCTTGGGGCTGGGTGATCCCTAAGATCCATTCCAACCCCTAAATTCTATGATTCTATGATGATTCTATGAACTGTATGACCAAAAAAAATAGTTTCATGGCTAGTTTTGTTGCAAAAAAAGTCTTTATAAAGCTTAAGGCTTTTTGAGGACTCTTCTGGGGAAGTGATGAAAAATATTGATGTAGACATTGAACAGATCAATTGTTCAACGTGAGGTTTTAATTTTGGGGTAAAAGTGGAGCAATTTATCAATAGCAATGTAAAGTTCTAGAGTGAGTGTGTTTTTAAAAGACACTTTATCTAAATAAGATTTTGGCTCAAGCTGCAAACCCCAAGGTGAAGTGAGAGGAGGAGATTTCAGAAGGAATGCAATAATAGGAAGCAGAAGGTAACAACAACTTCTTTGGACTTGGCACAAACAATTATAACATAACAGCAAGGTAACTTCTACTTTTAATTCCTTCCTGTAATCAAACAATATATAAAACTAGAATGCACTTCCATTTTCTCTGAATACTTCTTAGGAAGCAGGAAAGAGATAAACAGGAAAAGAAAGGGAATATAAACACCATTCATGCTCAAATAATTGTGCCTTTAAAAGAAATCCATTATCTGTTACAGTAAGAACCAAGTGACTAAAGAGGGGAATGCCTGGAATGGTGATGGAAATATCACCTTGGACACCAGTTTTGTTCCTCTGCAAGGAGAGCAACTGCAAACAGAAGAGATTCAGGTTCTCAGCACAACCATAACTGCCTCAATTATATGTTCTCACATCTTTCAAAGCCTCCTTAATTCTACCTTAGGAATAAAAACTCTGAAAGGAATCTGAAAAACAATTCTCCAAGAGGAATCACTTCCAAAGAATGCAATGTCCACTGTTACTTGGCCTTGAGCAACCTGCTCTGGTGGGAGGTGTCCCTGCCCAGGGCAGGGGTTGGGGCTGGATGATCTCTAAGGTCCATTCCAACTCCTAAAATTCTATGATTCTATGATTCTAAAAATATTGATTCCATGACCTGCAAATCTTTCCATTTGGCAACAGTATATCTTTCTCCAGTTTATAAACAAACACAGATAGAAACAAAAATTAAGGTGCATTTACACTTAAAGAAGATGCTGCTTTATTCAGACATTAACTGGGAATCAATTTTTTCCCTTTTCCATGCCTACCACAGGTTTTGAACACACTTCAAAAAGCAATGGACAAAAAAGAAAACTCCTTAGAGTATTTGCCTTTAAAAATATTTTTTCAAGAAGGTTTTCCTGTTCACAAAACATATTTAGAGAGCCAATCATTTTCCAGGTAAACAAAAGGAGGTTCAGAAGCTTAAAAACCATTAAACTTACAGGAGCTGCAGGGAAGCTGGATGAGAGCTCATACGGTTCCTCTGAGACCCACTGGCCCAATTCCAAAGACCACAGAACCTAAAATGAAAGAAGTGATAAGCAGAACTCTTATAATTTCTAAAATAGGAACCTCTTTGAATGCATAATTAGAAGTAACAGTCACATTGCAATAGTTGGGTTGATATTTCATCTACCCAAACCAAATGATTTGCTGAAAAAAATCAAGCACTCAAAAAGTTATGAATTTTACAGCTGAAATGAACGCTTCAAATACCAGAGGCATATTTCTGTGCATAGCTAAATTGAATTTTAAAACCTTGTGAGGATATTAGAGAAGTCAACTCTTTTTTTCATCACGACACAGAGAATTAGAGCAAAGATTTGAAAAGGGAAGTCATACTATATCAGTTCTGTTCTCTTGGTCCAGTTCATCATTGAAGTTGATGAGGTTCCTGTTGGCTCATTTCTCCAGCCTGTCATAGAATCAGAGAAACATCAAGGTTGGAGAAGACCTCTAAGATCATTGAGCACCTCAGTGATGAGGAGAGGCTGAAGGATTTGGGGTTGTTCAGCCTCGAGATGACTGAGAGGAACCTCAGTAATGGATTCAAGTCCATGAACGAGAAGTGCCAAGAGGATGATCAGACTCTGCTCAGTGGTGGAAACCAAGAAAACAAGAGGGAACAGCAAAAACTGATGCACAGGAAGTTCCACCTGAATATGAGGAGAACTTCTTCCCTGTGCAGTC